ATATTATCGTGATGGGAAACTAGATATCTGTGGCTGTATCAGATAATGACTAGTCACCACATAACGTCAGTTAAGTTTGAAAACATGATGTACAAAATACAAAACCGGCCTCATTTATTCGGCTTTTACAACAAACAAGTCTTCGGGGTAATGTCGTTCTCTGTATTCGCGGTAATGTCGTTTTTTGTGTTCGAGGTAAAGTCGTTTTTCGTATTCGCGGTGATGTCGTTCGCGGTAACGTCGTTCGCGGTAATGTCGCTGTATCTATAAACTTATAGAGTTGTAGTGCAATGAAAGTTTGTATTCAGTTACAACCCCATAGATTCCTGAAAAATAACTTTGTAACGCGTTATAACACTACGGGCTACGTCTATCGCGTTGTAATGAGATAAATCTACAGCGTTGTAATACCATAATTTAAGACAAAGCATGTTTTTTATAACGTTATAAAGCTATAAAAATAGTGAAAAAAAGATCCTGTGGGTACTCATTCTGAGCATTTCGTCAGCAATCCTCTCCTTTCCTCCAAGCATTTTTTTTTTGTTACTGCACAACAAAGAGTAGTAACACAAACCAAATGAATGCAAAAGTAAGTCAATTTATTTTGTTTGCATTGGCTTTTGTCTTTCCGATAGTCTTCATTTAGATTTTTACTATGGTTCTTTCATTCATTAAGTCAATGTATTAACTCAATACGCATATTTCTTATTTAGATACCATAAAACGTTCTATAATATTAGTTTTGTTAACGAGTAGGAATTTTAAAGTAATTGTTAACACAATAGCAGCCTATTTAGATTGCATATTAACTTTTACAATTTTATTTAGTTATTCATTTCGATGTTTCGAACATACAATGTTCACTTTCTGTGGAACTAAAGAATTTTCGTACTTAAAATGCAACTCACATTCACATATTAAACTGTACCTATAGATAGATAGATTTATTTTTACACAAAGGTAGGATATCGCGAAAAGCGCTAAAAAGACTTGTGGCATCCGAAGACAGCTGGTGATAAGCTAAACTAAGAAGTTTCTAAAAAGAATCACTACTAGTAGACATACATTTTAAGAGAAAACATAAGTGTGATACATTTTAAGAGAAAGAGTAATAAACATAAAAATTATTGAAAGCCTAGATGATCTCTTAACATACGCTTAAATACAGATAAAAGAAGACTGACATGCTAAAACCCAAGAAAGTTCCTTCCATTCCTTTGAGTCACGTGGAACGAAAGAGCCGGACGCAGATTTTAGCTTGGGACGAGGAATGAAAACGCTATTATTATGACCTAATCGAGAACTTTAACGCGTAGATAGTGGGGAGATCAAATCAAAAGATGAGAGAGGACTTTTATTAGAGAATAATTTATGAAAAGATAGCAGACGATAGTAAAGACGTCTATTAGAAAGTGGTTGAATTTTAAATTTTTTGAGTAAATAAGAAGAAAGGAAGCGCACAAGCATATTCGAGCACTGGTCGTACATAAGTCTTATACAGATGGCAACGTAAAAACGAAGGCGAGTCTCGAAAAATTCTGGAAATAGAGCCTAACATTTGCCGAGATTTTTTTGAAACATGCTCAATGTAAGATTTTCACGTTACATTATGCGAGATAATAACACCAAGTAGTTTGAGAGATGAAACACGTTTAATAATAATGTTTTTTATTGAAAGCGTGAGAGATGGAAGTGTTTTTGTAGAATTAGAAAATAAAATCAATCCATTAACATTTGTTTATGTTTAATTTTATCTCATTTATATCACACCAGAGAAGAAGCTCATCGATACATTTGTGTCCTTCGAATATATTTGTGATGCAAAAGACAAGAAAGAAGAGAAGATTTAACCGACGACAAAAGATCATTAATAAATATATAAAAAATAAAATCGGGCCTAAAATACTGCCCTGTGGTACAACAGACGTTACACGAACCGTAGAAGAAAAAGACGAACCAACGAAAACCTTCTGTGTACCATTAGAAAGATAAGAAGAGAACCATTTAGGAAGAATTCCTAATATCCCTGCTTTAGACAGCTTTTGAAGAAAGGTGAAAATTTTATCTACTTTTCACGATTGAGAGACCGTGAAATGTAAGCTTGGAGTTTCACAAAATTTTGTAGGTAAAGAGAGCAGGTTTCACGGTTTCGGAATCATGCAGTTGCAACATCAAACGCTCGGCCACGCGTGAAAAATCTTTACACATTATGGCTTGATTTTTTTAATTATAAACGTACAAGTTAAAAACGTAACAAAATGACTCATTCTATTCCCTATAGATGTGCTGAGTAATCTATCCGTGTATTATTCATGGAAAATAATTCAATTGATTTTATGTATGTTCTAATTATACTTTCTCTTACTCACCTTTACTTTCTCTACCTCTTATTTTCTCGGAATTGATATAGCTATACTATATTACTTTCGTTCTTCTCCACAATGTATAAGATAGTTGTTGGTTGATTTTCGACAGTTCACCGACTTTTCTCTTGCCACGTGTATTCAGACTAAGAGATGAAGTTTTGACGAGAGTAACTGAACTCAAAGTGTTAGGTGTTTTGATTTTGCACAGTCTCAAATTGTCTTCTCACATTGCTAAAACCACTTTAAGATGGCGAAAGATGTCAGGTACGATCAACCGGACTTTTCGTGAAGTATCATTTAAGTTAAAATATTATCTGTAAGTATACGTGTTAGACCGGTATTTGAATATGCATCGATAGTTTTCGACAATTCATACATATCTCATCTTGAACCATTAAACTCTGTTCAAAGGCTTGCTAATAGAATCACTTATAATGATTTCATTTCAGATTACATCCAAGTTAGTCAAAAAACTCAATTAGACATGACAAAAAAACAAGGTAACGTCGGTCTACACTGGTTCGGTCTCTTGACTTTGGGATCTTTTATCTGCGAATGACCGCCCATCACTTTTGAATCCACGACACCCTTCGGTCGGTGTTTGCTAAGCGGCTATCTAAATATGTTCTAAATTTTTCTTTGATTTGTAAAAAAATTTCTTTGATATAAAGTTCCTAATATAATGTAAACCTAAAAGGTTTTCTCAAGACCATGCGAAGATCTCCAGAGGTATAAAAATATTTCTAAACTGAAAACAATGCTTTCGCCTTCCTTCGGTCAGCGTTCGCAGCCAGTATAGCTGAGAAACGTTGTGAACTTCTCTGATTCCACGGAAAAACCATCTAATGTGATATAAAACTAAAAGGTTTTCTGCACACCCTCTGCAGATCCCGAGCAGGTTCGAAATATTTCTGATCGATTCGTTATAATAGATTACCTATACACTGTCAATTTTATTATCCGTAAACGACTTTTTTCGGTATTATCACAGTTGACTGCTCTCTCGCGACATCTACCTACAGCCTACAGAAAACGTTTACTTATCTTTTTTTCCCTCTGTTTCAGTAGATATTTCAGCTCATCTCTTTGAATGTTTTCTCCCACGTGGTGAAAAAGAAGTTTTTTATGCTTCTAGCTTATGGTTGGCTTATCCATAGAATATCTGACAGCCATTTTTCCGTATTTTGTGCACACACAGACACACAACCATTTTGTAAGACCCCAGGCTAAAGTCAAGGGAAAAAGCGTTGAAAAGTTAACGCTTTTTAGTGGACGGTTTTTTTCGTCAAATCTTGTTATGCTTTTTTACTGGACGTTTTCTGCTGGACGCTTCTTTGTGAAGTCACATTTTAGAAAACGAATCAGAAATTGTTATATTTCATTTTCATTTACCTTTTCTTGTTGTTTGCGTTGTCGGCGTACGTGGCATGTGTGTCATAGAATAATAAATAAGTTTATATATATAGTATTTTATACTATAACATTACACTTTCGAAATCCAAATGAGAAAGAAAGGTAAATCATAGCAATTACTCACTTCATGGTTGACGTCGAGTTTCATATTTTGTACAAGAGGTGGTGGGATTCAATTAGAAAAGTAAGTTACTCAGTGCTTTTGATTATCATTTTCCCTTTCGGAGGAATCTGTAGAAAGAGTCAGTCAAAAGGCATTTCGATCTAGTTACTTATTCTTAAATAACGCTCTGTATCTATCGTTCAACTACAGCAATATTCCACGTTATACAATGGGCAAAGAAACAAAAACGTTGAAATGTCTTCGATGGTGTTAGGTAACTTGTTTTTGCCGTTTCCAGTGATTCATGTAATTCAGTTTAACGATTTCTTTTAGAAGGTGTATCCTCATCAACGTCCACATTGATGGTGTTACCCAACGAACTATTTGTGGATTTTATTTTTATTTATCTATCGAGTGATCAAATTCTTCAGTCGTTTTTTAATATAAATAATCGTTTAAATGCAGTCATACAAATCTATTTTAAGCATATTGATGTTAGTACTTTGACCAACCATCAGTTGAATTCAATAATACCTGTCATACGTAAGCAACTGATAACAATCAAATTGAACTATAGTCGTCAAATTCATCTCATTTTCCCACAATCAATGTTTCAACATCTTCGACAGACGTATCCACACCTCAAATCCATTACATTAACCCATATACCAATAACACGAGATAAAACGTATTTAACATACCTTAAAGTATTTAAGAAGAGCGTCAAAATATTAAACATCAATAGCTGTACGAGTGAAANACCTGTCATACGTAAGCAACTGATAACAATCAAATTGAACTATAGTCGTCAAATTCATCTCATTTTCCCACAATCAATGTTTCAACATCTTCGACAGACGTATCCACACCTCAAATCCATTACATTAACCCATATACCAATAACACGAGATAAAACGTATTTAACATACCTTAAAGTATTTAAGAAGAGCGTCAAAATATTAAACATCAATAGCTGTACGAGTGAAAGCGATCATCCATTAAAAACTCTGATAAAAATCATCTTTCTTCTCCTCATTCCCCAACTTCGAGTCTGTGTAATTATGACTACTCCTATCAATCATAGTGAAGCTGAACAAAATCTTTCGGTTGTCTAATGCAAATTTGGTCCGAATGTTTCAAACTTGTTTGTTACTAGTTCATTTCTGAAAAAATACTCAATTTTATCATAAAAAAAATGATTTTGGAACAGCTTTCAGCCAATATCTGTCTTTTCTACTATTCCTTTCATCCAAACGGTTGGCAATTTTTCTCAGAAGAAAGTTTGTCAGCGTTGATCCAACTTTCATACTCCCGCTTTCTATAACTTCTTCGGTTAACGTTGCCTCATGGCATGTTTTCGCGTACATCCAGTTTATGATGCTTTGTGTCAGGGAAGGGCTATTACTATTGCATGGCACCATTTAGCGTACGTCTCATACATAACTCTGCACGTGAGGGGGCTCAGATGGTAATTCTCTCTTCTAAACTTCCGCTCCTCCTTTTCCTTTCCACTCACTCCTTCCTTCCTACGATGTTTCACAAAAATATTTTCTCAAGCAACATCTTAATACTTCTGACTTTTTACATACAAGATTTGCCTATGTTGTCTTCTATCTTTTTTATGCGAACGTCCTTTAAGGCTGATCTTAAATCGAACCAACTCCAAACTTGTTAAAAAGGATAACTAATGTATTGGTTGGCGAAACTGATCTTGTTAAAGAAGAATTATTACCAGTTTTGGCTCATGATGATAGTGGTGACGTTTATGAACTCGAAACATTGTCAATAATCGATCATTATCTTTGTTTACAAAATGAACAACAAGGACAATATTCTTTAACAATCAAAAACTTAACAATTCATTTACAATCACTTCAATGTCTTTTTCATTTATGTGGACATTTACCTAATATTGAATATCTGAATGTTTATTGTTCGTATGGTGATAATGATTCTCATTCATATCAGTCAGTTATGAACTCAAAGACATTATCGCCTCATTTAAAATACTTCATATTCAAAGGAAATAATGTTGTTTACAATAACTTACATTTATTAATAAAACAATTTCATTCATCAATAAAAATGTTGTCACTATTTGTTTACTGTGTACAGGACACATTTATGGATAATGATATGGACTATAGTTTTCTATCAAATTTAAATGAATTACATTTGTATTTTCATTGTCGACAACTCGCTGTTCGACAAAATGGCGAACAACAAATTATTGCATCAAAATTTCAGACACGGTTCTGGAACAAATATACTGTTATGTGTTCTCATTCATGTAATTATGATTATACTATATTAACCTTACCATGTCCTTTCGAATTTGTCCCATATATAACAGATAATTTTCTAAATTATCACTCAAATAAGTCGTCAATGATGACAACAATTACTGATGATAAGAATTTTGTCATGTCACATGTAACTAAAGTCGATTTGGCTCAAGACAGACATGACAGACCAATGTCACTAAAATGTTTTGAATTAATTCGAAAACTATTTCCACGTTTAAACACATTAAAAATCAATTATAATCTTGACACTCATCGATTACCATCATTAATTGTTCTAACGACAGTCAAAAAGTTATATTTAAACCCATTTAGTGAATGCACGAGTTGGAATTCATTCAAATCTGTATTGTTGATGGTACCAAATGTGGAAATATTAGAAATTTCATATAAAACTTTATCGTTACTTATTAATAATTACTGTTGTAATGATTTGGACACTGAGCACATTCGTAAACAATTAAAAACGATCATAATTATGTGGTATAAAGAGGCTACAACGGCACTTGACAGGTTAATTCGATCAATGTTTCCTAATGCCGAAATTCAATTTCCAACAAGTGCATAAACGAAATCTCTTTTATCTTGAAGCTACAATGATGAGAATCATTTACAAATTTCTTTGCTCTTAAATATTCCATTAATAAAACTATGTTAAACCGTATTCGATAAAAAGATGAACATTTGACAATGGCAAATGTTTAAGACGAAAAGACATATCTCGCTATTGTACCTTTCTTTCATTAATGTGAACTGATATTTGTTGCGTGTAAAACGAGAGTTTTTTCTTGATCTTACGAGAGGATATAAATGGATTGCGGGTTGGGACTATTTTTGTTAGAAAGGCCCTAACGAGTAGTGAAATACCCCAAATTGGTTCATTCCCATGGTACTTTGTTAAGATACTGAATTTTAGTCAGTTTTTGCCTACAGAGCTTGGATTTCGAGCAAAATCAGACTTTCGAACTTCGATTTCAAACTTGCCACACTTGTAGCCCATGGTCATAGTAGTATGATGGAAAAATATTCGGTACTAATGAATTTTCTGATTTGATTTGATTTGATTTTTATTTCGACAACAGCAGTTTTGAATGGAAAAGAGTAAACTTTAGTATTACAATACAAAAATTTAACTAATACATAAACATGTTGTCAGGAAAGCAAAAAAGGTTT